GTACCAAGAGTATCAGTTTTCATGTTGATTGAAACCTTTGCTGACTCTTACTTAACTAGAAATGCATTTTTACTAGTCATTTGCTAGGTTTATGGGTCAGCTGGAGTTGTACTTTTATCCAGAAGTTTATTCTTCACAAAAGTTGGGTATGTAGTCAATGTGCAGCTTTGTTAACTTTTTGGCTTTCTCTTTATTTTTCCATCCTGCTGCCAGACAAAGTTCATTGTTCCCTCCGAAATTTTGAAATCATTTCTCACTACTCGTATGAATGTATAGTGTGTAGCTACTTATACTTTCACTTAAATTCTCTTAATTAAGCTTGCCATGCTGACTTATGATTACTTAATATAGTGGGGACATGACTTTGGAATAGGAAAACTAATGCAAATACATAAAAATGAAAAAAATTAGAAAACAGAAATATAAATGATTAGCCCATAAAAACAAACAATTTATAAAGTTTAATCCAGTGATAACTATACCTATTTACCATCGCTGTAGATTTTATTATCATTAATTGTGGAAATTTTTATAATCTTAATTTCTCGAAGATACAAAAGGGAGCTGCCCTTGGATTCTTATTGAGTTTTGGACTGTTGGAAAATACAAATGAACTTTGTAAAGTTCTTAATGAAATTACCACAATGTTAGATATTTTTTGAAAGCTGCATCCTAGAACCCTAAACTCAAACCTTATGGCTCCACAACCCCGTTGTGAACTACTATTTTTGCATACCATGTTAATAAAGTGAGGCTCCCGTTGTGAACTACTATTTTTGCATACCATGTTAATGCAGGAGCTGAAATTGTTATGTTTTTAGTAGGGTGTCATACTTTTAATTAAGCCCTTTTCTTAGTCTTCTGTTTTTGTTAAGGGCTTGCCTATTTAAGGTTGCCTTGTATTTTAGAAGAGGAGGGAGTTTTTTGATTAATTGTAATAACCTTTCTCATATCCTTTCTGGTTAAGATTTATATTCAGTATCCTAGAGTGACGCCCAGGCGGTGAGCAGCCATTTTTTTTTTTCAGTGAATGCATTCTTTCCCTTGAGACTTTCTGTCCAATTTTTTCTTCTTTTTCTGAAATTTCCGAAACGTAGATTCTGTTTTATCTTGTTTCAGTATCATGTTGGTATCAGAGCACTGTTCTTGAACATCTTTTCTCTTCATTCTCTGAGTTCCTGGCCAGTTCTTTCTTTTTTTTTTCTTTCCATTTTTTTTCAAACTCTTCTTTCTCTAGAGTTCTGTCCATATTTTTCTGTTTTCATGAATTGTAGTGGCTGCATAACTGTCTTGCGGTTTGCAGTCCAGGTTTTTAGGTTTGTGGCCTAAGTTCCAGGAAGCTTTCCAAGAAGTTCTCCATTTTTACTTGAGTTTCATCTGTCTCTGTGGGTTTTATCTACCCTTTACGTGGGTTTCTTTGTTATATGGATTCTTTGTTGTGGCCACACTTCTCAGTTATCCAGCCGTGGGTTTCCTCTGTCATCCATGGGTTTCCTCGGTACAATCATGGAATGTTGATAGTCTTCTATCTTGGGCTTCTTGATTCCAATTCTTGGCCATAAATTGTGAATAGTTTTCTATCCATGTATTTGTTTGTGGTTTTTTCTGCTCTCAATCATGTCATTAAGGAGGAACAATGTCCATCCAAACCGAGACTTGGTTGTGAAAAAACCGCAACAAGAAATTCATCGTCTACAATCAAGATTTACTTCTTGAACGGCGAGATCTGGAAGAATGTCAAATTGAATTTGAAAATGAGGTGATTGACAAGGAAGAAGATAATATATTCCATCAAAAGACATCTAGTGGTGATGAACAACCTCTAAGTCTATTGAGGCATGAAAATCGGCGGAAATCTTCAGATTTCAGAATCAAATTCGACATTTCTGATTTTGATGAAAGATTAGATCCTGATGAATTTGTTAATTGGCTATATACAGTTGAACAAGTTTTGGGATTCAATGAAGTTTCACAAGAACATATCGTCAAACTAGTGGCTATCAAATTAAATAATGCCTCACTTTGGTGAGAAAATTTGAAAAGGATTCAACAATGCCTTGAACCAAAATGAAGAAACAAACGCAACGGAAGTTCTTACTCAATCATTACCGACAAGAAGTCTTCAACCCACTTCATAACCTTCATAAACAAGAATTATCCGTGGAGGAATATATCGCTGAATTCGAACAGTTGTGGTTGAAGTGCAATCTTACCGAACTAGAAGAGCACACCATTACTCCTTTTTTTTATGGTTTACGACCTTCTACTGCTAATATGGTTCAATTCCAACCTTTCTCGACATTACATGACATGATTAACTTGGTGGTGAATATTGAAAAACAACATAAATTGGGTATGAACATCCCAATACACATTCCTAGGAATGATTTGAAAGTTCTAGCAAATCAGTCCACTTTCAGGCACAACTCGGTGTTCGAAAAGTTGTAAACAACAACAAAACTACTTTTTTGTCGTGAGTGGCTGCTTCTAATGGGGGAAGGAACTACATCCGGTATATGATGGCTTCAAAAGTCATGGGTTCGACGACATAGCCTCAAATTATCTTAACGGACACATTATTTTGTTGGTTGAGGATGCTTATTTAGAGGAAAATGATTGTGGTTGAAGAAGAAGATACTAATCTAATAAGGGACAAATCCTACAGGCGGATGAAGGGGAATTACTTGTGATAAGATTCCTCCTAAGTGTCGAACAATCTTCCAATAAAGATTGATAACAACATAACATCTTTAAAATCTGGTGCACAGTTCGGAACAAGGTTTGTAACCTTATCAGCGACGGTGGAAGTGAGAACTTGGTTGCAATAGCCATGGTGGAGAAGCTTGGTCTATCTATTTGACCTCATCACCATCCCTACTAACTCATGTGGTTCAAGAAACGGGCTGAAATTAAAGTCATCTGGCAATGCATGATGTCGTTTTCAATCGGTCAGTAACTTTAAAAGCAAGTTTTATTTGATGTAATTCCTTTTGGCACTTATCACATATTGCTTGCTTAGTTGACTTTACAATAAAATCGTCATACAATTCATGATGGGTATGCTAACACTTATTCCTTTATGTACCATTGCTGCCTCACCAACGGAATTTGCCCAAATCAGTCAATTTATGTTGGACCGAGCAAGAAAAATTTTGTTTTGATCGCTTGAAATTGACCCTATGTACAACTCCATTTTTAAACATCCAGATTTTGATCTTTTGTTCGAGGTGAAATTTGAAGCATCTGTCATCGGTATTGAAGCTATTATTAGTCAACAAGGACACCCCGTAGCCTATTTTAACAAAAAGATCAACGCTCAACAATTCCAGAAGGAAATACTCAACATATGATAAGAAATTCTATATTTGTAAGGGCCTACAACATTGGAGCCATTATCTTTTAGCTAATAAAATTTTCCTCTTTACAGATCACTAAGCCCTTAAGTACTTTTATAATCAAAATAAATTGAAAGGAAGACAACACATGGAGTGAATATATTTCAGTCTTTTCAGTTTACTCTCAAGCACAAATTGGGACTCTCTAATCAAGTAACTGATGCTCTAAGCCGCCGATAAGCTATTCTATCAGTGTTGCAAACTAGAGTTGTGGGTTTCAAACTAATACAAGGAATGTATGTCGGGGATCTTTATTTCCAAGTGGCATGGCAGCAATGTCTCATTGGAAATTATAAAACCTTTCACATCAAAGATAATTTCCTCTTTAAATGAAATTATTTATGAATTCTTAAGTGCTACATTCGAGAAGACATATTATGAAAGGCCGTGATAGTGGCCTAGCCGGTTATTTTGGAAGAGATAAGACTCGAGCTCTTCTTTTAGTTATATTTTATTAGCTCTCTTTGCATAAAAATGTGGACGGTCAGGTGAAGTGATGTCGTATTTGCCATTTAGCCAATATAAGGAGTCAAAATCTTGGTTTATGCCTTTCTTCGCTCATTCCTAAATTTCCTTGGATGAATATTAGCTTGGATTTTGTGGTTGTTTTACCACGCACTGCATGACACAAGAATTCTATCATATTGGTGGTGGATAGATTCTCTAAGATGACTCGCGATGTCCCTCACATTGCCGATTTATACTTCAAAGAAGTGGTTTGTTTATATGACTTTTCAGGTACTATCACATCAGATCAGGATGTTAAGACTTAAGCCCCTTTTGGAAAATAGAATGGGGCAAATTTGTAACCGAACTTTAATATAGTTTTGCATCCCACCCACAAACAAATGCACGAATGAAAGCTGTTAATAGATAGCTCTCGGAAGCCCATTTGTTTTTATTTGGGAAAGAATCTTGCATAATGGGGCCATCTATCTCAAGTGGAATTTGCCTATAATCGGTCCCACTGTCCAACTTCAAAATACAATCCTTTTGAGGTCGTTTATGGGAGAAATCATATATCTCCACTTGATGTTACATTAGGTTTTCCCATTCAAGTGGAGTGCTACCAGATATTGAGGTTCAACTACTAGAAAACCAAAAGCTACATAAATTGGTTCATGAGAATATTATTAGACCAAATGAAGTATAAAGGCGATAAACAAATAAGAGTAGAAAGACAGTCACTTTCAAAGGAGGAGACAAAGTATGGATTCGACCAAGGAAAGAACATCTTCCCTCCGGGAAGACATTGGAAGTTGAAGGCTAAAGCTGATGGACCTTTTCGGATTGTGAAGCGTATTGATGACAGTGCTTATCAAATTGATTTTCCAGGAAACTATAATATCTCTACTACATTTAACGTTGCTGACTTGACTTCACAGTACCGAACCGATTCTAAAATTGTTTCTCATGAAGAATCCCTGCTAACTTCGAGAGAATGCCTCAAGAGCTGAAATTGTTCTAGGGTGTCATATTTGTAATTAGGTCCTTTTCTTAGCTTTCTATTCTTGTTGAGGGTTTGCCTAGATAAGGTTGCCTTCTATGTTAGAAAAGGAGGGAGTTTTTTGATTGGTTGTAATAGCATTTTCCTTATCCTTTCAGGTTAAGAAGTTTATTCAACATCGTGGAGTGGCGCCAAGGTAGCGACCAACCATCTTTCTTTTCAATTAATGCATTCTTCCCCATTCTTGACATTTTTGGTGCAAAATTTTTTTCTTTTATCTGAAATTTTCAAAGTGCAACTTTTCTGTTTTACCTCGTTTCGGTATCACACACGTTCATCATAGGAAAAAAAAATGATTGTTTTATATGTTATGATTTATTGGCAAAAAGCTTAATAAACGTTGCTACATCATTGACACCAACGAATAGGTAGCAGCTATATTTACTGAAAAATGTTGTCAAAATTCTTGAATGACGATGAGGTAAGTTTATGTCAAGCTCCGTTCAAGCCCACCATAAATCTCATTTAGCAGGAGATACAAAATCATTAAGAAACTTGAATGCATGTTCAAGCATGCTTTATACATGATTCAAAATGCTTTTTGATTTCCTTTGCAATGTTTATTTTTTATTTTCTACAGTAAGTCGTATGTATGAAATAAAACTGACAAAAAAACTAGAATACCTCAAATTGGTATATTTTATCATGAAATTATGTTTTCAATTGCTTATCGCAGTACAGGAGTTGAAGACAAAGCAGGAAGAATTGGATCAATCATCTTTCTAATGAGGCCCTCAATGCTCTTTTCTCTACTCTTAATTAACTTTTGTTGAATGCTTTAGTGATTATCTGGTGTGTGAAATGATTGTATCATTTTAGATTTTAAGGTGTCTGTTCTTCCAAACCATTCACTTTTATGATCTTACATAAGTTGATGTTTATTAATTGAATGCCGTTATTTGGACGTGCCTGTAATGTTTCTAGTACTTAAGTGCTATCGTCTAACTGATTAATTCGTCAAATATTTGCAGCTCGAAGAATTGGGTTCATAAAAGAGGGAAAATTTTTTTGTCCGGACTCCTAACATAGCTCTACGTGCGGATTTAAATAATATGACGTGATGTGTGTTATATTGCGGAGGTTATTTTGGGGTTATTGAAGTGGAACCACGTAAGTTATTTAGGGGTTATTGAAGAAAAAATTATGCATTGCACTTCAATAACGTAGAAATAATCTCTGCGATTCAACTTTAATAACGTCGAGGTTATTGAAGTGAAATATATGAGTTTCTCCTCAATAACCCAGAAATAACCTCCACGGTGTTATTTCAAGGTTAATAAAGTGAAACCGTAGAGGTTATTTCGGTGTTAGTTCGAGATTATTTCGAGGTTATTGCGTAGTTTGCAGTTTCACCTTAATATTTTTAGGTGAACAGATATAGCACACATGGCGGTATAGTATTTGGAGTCCACATTTAGAGTTATGTTCGAAGTCTAGACAGAAATTTCCCTTGAAAGTGGGAAGAATAAGGGGATATTATATAGGAAATTGAGAATTTTAGCTTTCAAGGTGTCATTTTAATAACATGATTTAATCAGCTAAATTTTGGTACCAATTTATGTGAAGTAGTTATGTATATTTCTTGAATAATAACGAGTGTGTAATGTTTTCATGAGTTATATTTTGGGATTTGAATTGCTTGGTTAACTCTTTAGGTGAAGTTAAACATTTCATGAGTAATATTTTATGAAGTTAAACATGCTCGCTCTTTGAGATGCATTCGTTTGGATGGGCTGCAGAAATAAATAGTGAATTGTAAACTATTAATGCATTGATATATATGGCTATAAATGTGGCTAAGCAAGTAGTTTTGCGTGATATTCATATGAACCTGTATTTTGAATCATTTTAAATTTATCTGAGCTTAACAGCTAAAAACTAAAGTCCACTGAAATTAAATTATATCATTCATGTAAAATATTATCGCTAAGTTGCTACTGCTCATACATCATTAATTGTCTTCCGCTATTATCGTTATCGCGTCTACCATCATTGTCGCAATTTGTCAATTGCCTACTACCATCACCATCACTCGACTCGGTCATCGGCCGTCCATCGTGCTGCTTAGGGCTGTCAATTTGGCTCGTTGTTCATGAACAGCTCGTGTTTAGCTCGTTAAGCAACTCATGTTCGGCTCGTTCGTTAAGTATAACGAGCCGAACACGAACAAATTTTTAAGCTTGAAATGCAAACATTAATGTCTTCTTTTATATATATTTGATCCAGATTTAAATCCCACACTTTACATCTATTTTTCTAAATTTTAGTTTAACGAGCCAATTTCGAGCCGAACAAGAGCCGAACACGACACAAACACGAATATTTAAATCGAGCCGAACACACACTGTTCACGAGCCGATTTCGAACACGAGCTATTTCGAACGAGTCGAACACGAGCCAAGCCTGAGCTCGCTCAAGCTCGGCTCGTTTACAGCCCTAGTGCTGCCCACTGTTGCTGATAGCCTGTCGGCCTCAAACAAAATAATATATTTTAAAATATATTATTTTTATCAACTTCAAATAAAAAAAAAATTTGTCTATTTTACAGCGAATTAAACAACTAAAGTATTTTAACAATATTTTAACTATAGCACTCTTATAAATATTTTACATTAAATTTTATTTTCAGCAAACCAAACAATATGAATGAAGATATTAATGGTTGAAAATGTTTATCATGTCCAGAATTTATAGTTAGCCAGCCATTTGAAGCAGAGATTAAATGTAAATAACTGTAAAATAAATATATTTTGCTTCAGCAAAGATGTAAAGAAATGTTTTAAGCCAGTTGTACTTATAAATTAAGCAAAAAGGCATATTTATACCACATAATTCATTATACATCATATTTGGTCAAGCTAATTTCCCCTAAACTACCAAGGCGCTCAAAAAGAGATAACCTCTGTGGGAACAGAAGGAAGCCTTCTTATTCATTAGAACACCATCTTTAATATAAAAATGAATTATGAATAGAAAGGATGTCATAGAACTCCTTTATTTCCATTAAAAAATCTGCAATATCAATGTTTTTTAATCATTC